AATCAGAAAATGTGTTGTGATCTCCCTATTCTTCTGTTTTAAGCCATCTTCCAGCTGTTTCAGTGCTAGGTACAGCCAGAGGTGCAGGGATGAGGAATGAGAACATAAAAGACATCAACAGTTCTAATTATACAACTTTTCTTCCTGTGATATTAAGGTTTATTTCAGGAAAGAAAAGATCCTTTATCACAATGTTATGATTTGCTTTGATTTTGTTTGTAGGGTATAATAAGCAAAAGGGATGTGAACATGGATCCACCCAGGCCTTGGTGCCTGATGAAAGCCACCACAAGGGCAAGATAATGAGAGCTTTTGATTTTCCTTTTTCCTCTGACCTGAATGATCCAGAGAGCAAAATTCAGGGCTCTTTGGAACTTCAGCAGTAAAAATGCCACTGTCATTCAGCATGGGAACTGGCAAGGAACTGTGCCAGCTTAAAGAAATGCTGACCTCAATTTCAACTCTTACAACTAAGCAGATGGGATGTGTGTGTGTGTGTGTGTGTGTGTGTGTGTGTGTGTGTGAGAGAGAGAGAGAGAGAGAGAGAGAGAGAGAGAGAGAGAGAGAGAGAGAGAGAGAGAGAGAGAGAGAGAGAGAGAGAGAGAAAGAATAGTATTGCCGTCTGCAAAAGAAGCAGTGTGTCAGGCACAAGGAATCAAGAACCGCACCTCAAATTGCTGAGTAGTTTCTTTACTGCTGTTCACTCCTAGGCAGGAATCTTGCCAGACTAAAGCACATTTTGCAAAACTATCAGATATATGAAGGTTTAGGGAGGATTCCTCCTCCTGGCCCTCCTTCTGCACACCAAGGACAAGACTAACTTGTCTCTTAGCACCTTGGGAAAGACACCCCACCCCCAGCCACCTCCTCCTGCAACTCACAGTCAGATTCCATCACAAATGAGACAGAGTGGAAAACACCTCTTTTGGTGACAGTCACTTACAGCAGCAGATACAAAGGTGCCAGGACTGCCACTTGAAAAGTCTTCCTCCTCTTCCTGCTTCTCCTGACATTCAGGGTTGGTCAGAGAATTGAAGACATAGCCTTGTGGCCCAGTAGAAAAACCCAGTTCTCCCATTTCCCAAAGACAAATGGCCCTGAAAGTCAGTGGCCAGGAGCCAGAGGGTTGGCAGGCTCAGGTTGGTAGCCCCTGGGAGCAAAGGGGTTTATCACAGCGCACTCTTGTCAGAAGCATTAAGAGTTGTTAACCTAATCTTGCGTAGCTTCTTCTCCGGTAATATTGAACTGCAAACTAGGGCATACAAAACATTTGCTAGACCAATTCTTGAATACAGCTCATCTGTCTGGAACCCGCACTGCATGTCGGACATGAATAGAATTGAGAGAGTCCAGAGATATTTCATGGGAAGAGTCCTCCACTCCTCTGCTCGCAACAAAATACCTTATGCCACCAGGCTTGAGATTTTGGGCTTAGACAACTTAGAACTTCGCCGCCTTCGGTCTGACTTAAGGGTAGTACACAAAATTATCTGCTACAATGTCCTACCTGTCAGTGACTACTCCAGCTTCAACCAGCAACAATACACGAGCACACAATAGATACAAACTCAAGGTAAACCACTCCAAACTTGATTGCAGGAAATACGACTTCAGCAAGAGAGTGGTCAATGCCTGGAATGTACTACCTGACTCTGTGGTTTCTTCCCCAAACCCCCAAACTTTAACCTTAGACTGTCTACTGTTGAACTTACCCCATTCCTAAGAGGTCTTTAAGGGCCGTGCATAAGTGCACCAGCGTGCTTACTGTCCCTGTCCTAATGTTTTCTATTATTCATATCCTTTTCATGTATTCATAAACATGTTTATACTTATATCTTCTATCTAATGCATGCTTGACGAAATAAAATAAATATCTCCAAATATCAAATACCAGTTGCAGAGGAACAAGAGTGTTGATTGGTCCTTCCCCTCGCACATATGTGCTAGTTGTTCCCGACTCTAGGGGGTGGTGCTCATCTCCGTTTCATTTTCGCTGTCCGAAAATGTCTCCGTGGTCATGTGGCCAGCATGACTAAATGCCAAAGGTGCACAGAATGCTGTTACCTTCCCACCAAAGGTGGTCCCTATTTTTCTACTTGCATTTTTTATGTGCTTTCAAACTGTTAGGTTGGCAGAAGCTGGGACTAATAACAGGAGCTCAACCTGTTACGCGGCACTAGGGATTTGAACTGAACTGCCGACCATTCGATCGACAAGCTCAGTGTCTTAGCCACTGAGCCTCCATGTCCCTTAAGTTCCTTGACTTACAACTATTCATTTAATGATTGAAGTTACAAAGGCACTGAAAAAAATGACTTGTGACCATTTTTCACACTTACGACCATTGCAACATCCCCGGGGTCACGTGATTTACATTTGGATGCTTGACAACCGGTTCACATGTATGATAGTTGCAGTGTCCCAGAGTCACGAGATCTGACAAGCCAAGTCAGTGGGGAAGCCATATTCACTTAACAACGGTGTTACTAACTTAACAACGGCAGCGATGTACTTAACAACGGTGGCAAGAAAGGTCGTAAAATGGGGCTTAACATATTTTTCACTTAGCAGCATCAATTTTGGACTCAACTGTGGTCGTTAAATTGAGGACTACCTGTATATTGACTGAGATGGGCTTTCATTATCCAGCAGGTTTATGCATCTTTCCTCCCCAAAAAACTATGGGGAATGGAGCAAGGACAGGCATATGTATAAAAATAGAGAAAGCTCAAAGTAAGTGATGAGTCAGGAAAGATGAGCTTAACATGTGCAGAAGGAAACTGCTGCAAAAAAAAAAACAAAAAAACACTGCAGGTAGTAACTTAGGGACTTTAAAAGAAAAAGCAATTTAGCAGCTTGGAAAAAGAACATGCCATGAAAATTTATGGGCTGAGGAAACAAAGAGAAATTTGAGCAGAGAGGAAGAAGCTCCTGGGGGAAATCAACAGAGAAATTCTTTTGATAGCTGAGGGAATTGGTTGGTCTTCTAAGGTAGGCAGCCTCACAAATCAAGAATTAGTGTCTGAATGGTAAGCTATTTCTTCCTTAATGGTTTTGACTGTTTAGAGAAGGGGCTGCATCTGAACTGTTTGGGGACCTCCCGCTCTACTTGGCTTAGTTCTATTGTACATCATCAGGTATATACTGTGAAAAATAACAAAGAAAAATCCTTCCTCTCAGGAGTAGGTGGAAGCAACGTAAAACCTCATATATGGTGACATAGTAGAATGTCAGATTTGTTTCTCTCTAAAAGCTTAAGAGAAACTAGAAAAGGTTAAGACCAAAAAAAAAAAAATGTAAACCCAGAAATAAACAAGATTCCTCACTATACAAAAACACTACAAAACATGAATTGCTAATTCTGTATGTTAAAAATTAGCGTACTCCATGGAAAAGTGTAACATTTTGATTTTGCTTCTGAAATGTCTTTTTTCTTGCTGGCCTCTCCCCCCCCCCCCACTCCCACTAGAAGATTTTATGAAAAGATATAATGTTTCAAGGAGCTACAAGTTCACTCTAATATTTTTTAAATAATATTGGTGGGTCTAAAAAGTCACTACCGTCTCCTTGATTTTTGGCTAACATAGACTATTGCAGCTCTCCTCCTGCAGTTTTCCCCAACTGCATTTTCGATCTTATTTTGGGGAGGAATCGTAAATAAGCGTCAATCTGTATTAATTAAATCCTGCCCAATCTTTTCCCCATAATACTATTACTGGTTCATTGTCAACAACCTTATCTCTTTTACACATTGTCCCTTCCTTAGCAAGATATGCCCTCAAGGGTCCATTTTAAAATACAATACATTAATGCAAAAAACTATGACATTTGCAAAATAATCAATGCAATTAGGAGTACATATTGCACAATTCACATTAGTACTATAAAACATTTTATTGTTCACCATAAGTGGCACCTAGCTAAATATTATCGTGCTACCCCAAAACCAATTTCTTAACACTTTTTTTTCTCTCAGGGCTCCTGCTCATTTTTAAAGATTATGGGTAAAGAGCCTTTTGTCTGTGAGGGTGATATTTATAAATATTTCCTGTATAAAATTAACATTGACACATTCACATTCACAACTGCATCTCAGGATTGTTTGATGGGATTTTAATATATTATTTTTTCAACATTGGCTGGCAAATACTTTTGATGGCAGAGGGGTGGGTGGGTCCTAGGACCACACTGTAGAAAACTAGAGTACTCTAGTACTCTACACTACTGCATTAAGCCCAACTTTACAGCAGTAATACAAAAGAGAGGGTAAACAGCATGAAAACAAGAAATTAGGTAAAGCCAGGAATAAGATCATTGTATAAGAGGTTAACTCCTAATCTTTCATGGTAACCCTTAGTATCAAGGAATAATGCATTTTTGCAGGTTAAATAAATACTTTGATTGGGGGGACCCACCATCCAACTATATTCTTTCTGCCACCTCCGTTTTCAAACGCTGAAAAGACCCCTCCCTATTCCTGATAGGTATAAGCAACACGCCACAAAGGAAGGGCACTTCGCTAGGTAGGCATTTTGAGAGACCACGGAGCCTTTTAAAAATGCAGTCATTACAGCAAATGCGTTTTGCACTCATATTATGGCCGAAACTCTTTAAAACAGAGGGCGGAAAGAATCACCCATTGAAACGTAACACAAAAGCGGACGAGATCTCGTGGCGTATTACTGTAATGCGGAGGACGCACGATGCTGGTTTTTTTTTTTTTTTTTATCATTTCTCGCCCATTAGACAAGCCTTCCAACGCCCCTTCCCATTTTATCACCGCCACAAAAAGAAAAGGGAGGAAAAAATCGCATTTTTCTCCCCGACTCCCTCCTGTCACCGACCACACCCCAACTCTGCCTTCTCCCCCCTCCCTTTTTTTACCACGTGGCTCCATCGGGCCCCCCCCTCCGCCCTATCAGCGCGCGCTCCTGATCCCTTTCGACCAATCAGAGCGCGAGCCGACCGCCAGTTTATAAAAGCTTTGTCTGGTTCTCCGCAGGCTACCTTCCCTTAGAACGCTTCGCTGTTGCCGCCGCGTTCGGAGAAGAGAACCTTGAGCTCCGCAACGTTCTATAATATACTTAAAGGAGCAGCGGCGTCTGGCTAGCGCAATCTTTTTTATATATATATATTAACACCAGAAGTGCGGGCGAGGCACTAAGAAGCAAAATGAGGGAAATCGTACACATTCAAGCTGGGCAATGTGGTAACCAGATCGGAGCAAAGGTGAGGATGGCAATTTTTCTCTCTTTCCTCCCCCCCCACCCCAGTCCACGCGGGTTCCAGCGTTAAACTTTATAATATAGCCAAGATGAAAAACAGCGGGAGGTGGAACGGCTCAGTTTAAACGCTTTGCCATGCTGCTCCTTCTCATCCATTGCCACGGTGGCAAAACGGAAGTGCTCCCGCGGCGAGAAGCACGTGGCTGCGTTAAATTTTGAAATTTATAAGGGCTGCGGGGCAAACCTTTTGTTCGATCGCCGTTGCAAAAAAAAAAAAAAAACCAAACAAACCCGGTGTGATCGCTATCAAACCCGGCGGTGCTTTCCTTTTTATATATATATCTAATAAATATATACACATATAAATATATGTACCGTATATAAAGGGATCGCCTCTAGATTAAAGCCATTATCCGAGGAGAAAAGATGGGGACAAGAGGCTCCCCCTTATCTTCTCCCCCCCCCCCGCTAAAACCATCTTAACTTAATTTTCCTTCTAAAGCGAGGGGCCCTTGCCTTTGTTCGTCCTTCCCTTTTAATCCTGTGATTTAGAAATGAATGGGATTAGAAGATCCTTAATGGCAGAGGACTGTCCGTGGACACCACTCTAGTCGGGGGGAGGGGAGGGGAGGGGAGGGGGGCGGAGGAGAGGGGGAGTCAAATGCCCGCCAGATATAATCCGCCGTAGCCTGTAAATTCTAGCGCCAAAGCGGCCGAGGAAAGGAAGTGCAATTTCGAAAGAGATCCGAATCGAGTGACAAAACGAGAACAAAAGCGCCGAGATGGGAAGGGCGGCTGTGTGTGCGCGTGTGTAGCCGACCTATATCTATCTATCTATCTATATCTATATCTATATATATATATATAGAAAAAGAGCGAAGTGGGTCAAGTGGGCTTGAAATTGAACTCAGCCGGAGGAAGAAAAAAAAAAGACGGGAGGATTCGAACACAGGGTTCGAAACCCCCCGTCCCCGCCTAAATCCAACGACGCCGTATCGGTTTTGTGTGTGTGTGTGTGTGTTTTTTGCGACTAGCGAATCCCGGTTTCTTCTGAACCGATTAAGTTCCTTAGGATCGTCTGTGTCAACGCGCCCCCCCTTTTTTTTTAATCCGAGCCCCACCCCGCTTTCCTGATCCGTTAGAGATGGGATCGAGGCAAAAGGAGAGAAGGATCCAAAAGGTGGCTTTCGGCCAAGAGGCGCGGCTCACCGATTTAGGAGACTAAATTGAATCCCTTTCCGTAGTAAAGCACGGTTGGGGGTTGCAAGGCGTGTAAACCAAACTCCGGGTAGGTTTACTCGGGAGTAAATCCCACGAAGCGCTCTTCCCGTTTTAAAATTTAGCCCCTCCCCTCCGGATATGTTTTGAAAGAGGTGTAAATGCCTTGAAAGGCGTTTAAAAAGCAAATCCTTTTATTTCCGTAAATAAAACTTCCAAAATCTCCACAAACGGAATTCAGTTTGAATATTTTCTCCCACCAACCATTTTCTCCGGTTTTTGTTAGGATTTAATAAAACAGCATTTAAATTAGGGGGAAATCCTCCCCCTCCTTTTTTTTTTAATTTAGGAAAGGTCCTAAATTTATTTATTTATATTTAATATATTTATTTAGGAGTGTTTAGAGGCTCCGTGGCTTCTACGTCCCTATCTGACATTTAGATCCCGGCTTGAAATTAAATCCTCCTTAACGCCATCCCGCACCAAACCGCGGGAGCTGCACTTCTTTAGTATAATAACCTCGGATTAAGCCAGGAGAAAGAAAGAAAAGAAAAAAAAAAAAAACCCGCGGCCTCCAGTAATTTTGTTGCAACCCCGAGGCCTGAAAATGTTACAAAAGGGGGAAAAAAGGTTGCTTTGGAAAGGGAAATCCTCCTAGTGTAAAAAAAAAAAAACTTGTAACGAGTTTTCAGACATCTTGGGCTTCTTTCCCTCGTCCCTTATAGGCAAACATGCTTGAGAGGGTGTTTGTGGGTGTGGATGATGGGAGCTGGAGTCGTCAGTATTGGTGGGGGCGCCAAGTTGAGGGAAAGCTTGGCTTGCAAAGCTCGAGCAGTACAATGGGTTCTTTTTTTTTTTAAATCGACTTCCTCTACTGCAGAACGGATGCCATTACTGGCGCCAAATCTTCCTTCCCCCACCATTTTTTTTTTATAAAAACCCGCCCACCATTTCAAGCCGTCTTTGTCTGCAGTCGGGGAAGCACATGGCCGCCGGGCGCGCTCGCGTCTCTCTCTTTCTCTCCCTTTCACTCTTTCCCTCCTTCCTTCCCTTCCCTTCCTCCATCCTCTTCCTGTCTGTCTGGCCCAGCTCTCCTTCCAACCCCAATGGTCGCGCTTCTGCCCGGCTGCTGCAGCAGCAGCTGCACACACGGGGTTTTGTGGGCGCGTGTAATGGCCGCTGTAATGGCCGGGTGGGTCTCTGAAAGCAGGGGGAAAAAGGGGTGGGTGGGAGAGAAACAACGCCCAGGTGGGCGGAGATGGCACCGAGGCGTTTTTCGAGCAGCAACGTGGTTGAAGTGGAGATTTCGCAGGGAAACTGTTAAATTTTACATAGCAGATTTTACATAGTCTTTTTATTCAGCACACATTTTAACTTTTTTTATGGGGTGGGGGATTTAGTAGCTTAAAGCCCCAGAGTTACTTTCCGAGCCTGGTCCTTGGCCAGTCCGCTTTCACGTGCAGTAAATCCCGATTATAGGAAAAAAGCCTTCCGCAAAGCTGTTGACATCGTCCCAGTTGCTCTCACCCTTGAATTAGCCTGTAGAAAGGAATAAAATAAAAACCTTTGAGTTGCATTTCAGCTTAGCAGGCTTTAAAAAAGACTGGGAGATCAGAACTAGAGACAATGGCAGATAGTCAGTGCCCACCCATCTCCCAGCGTTGATGCCCTCCATCTTTCTGTGTTTGGGACACTCGTGGGATGAACCATCAAAGGGCTTCTGAAAGCAGCATAAAAACTTTAAAAAATAAAAAAAGAACCATCTTTTTAAAAAAATCCTTGCTTTCTTAAATCTCTCTGGATGTGTGAGAAATTCTGATTGCCTGCCTCAGCCAAGGGTTGGAGTCCAAACCTCCAAGATCCCTTCCAACTGCTCTACATCATGTTGAAAAGGCAGAAAGGATGCCCAGCCAGGCCTTCAGAGAAAAAAGCCTTTTTGAGAAAGTCAAACTTTTTAACAGTTGTGTGTTCCTACGCTTCAGAAGCTTCTTGGTTATGCTCTACTCCACATCCTCAGTGAAACTTGGGCTTTTGCCACATGTTAAGCCCACCCCCCCTTAAAATTGGGACATTGTACCAAGCAGACAATGGGGTATATCTATTGTGATGGTAGTCAGTTTTTTCTCCATTGTGCTACTTGTTCATCCAAAGACTGAAGAGGAATATTCACCTGTATCCTTAGGGCAGGAGCTAAAATTGGCTTTCCTATCTTGGAGATTGTCCCCTGACCTAGATCATGCTATAATTTTAGACATTATGGAATAGGGGATTGCCAGTGGATTTAGGAGTAGTAAAAATAATCCAGCACCTGCACTTGTGTTTGTGGTAAACGATAGCGATGCAATGAGAAAGCAGAATCCTACAGTGTGTAGAATTGGCTTCTGGACCTATATGCTTTGTTCTCTTTCTGGTACACTCTCTTCTGTGGTGCATTTGATGAGTGGGGGGCAGGAAAGGAAGCAAAATCAATACCAGGGATCATTATTCATTTTCCAAAATGCTGCATTGTTCCTAGAAGGCTGTTGTAAGCTTTTAAGACAGTATTCCGGGATCCATCGGTGCTAATCCAGTGTCTGCTCCTTCCCAGCTGCCCCACCCTGATCACCTCTACATGACCTATGTTGCGGTATACGCATCCACTTCGGCATGCGTGAGGGTGTGTCTGCAGCTTTTTGCTGGCACCTGATGAATTAAAAGCAGACTAACTGAGCTGCAGCCTTTCTCGATTAGATAAAGAGCAGCAGCATTTTTGAAAGAAAGAAAGAAAAAGAAAGAATCCCCACTCATGATACTTTAGAACAATATCTTCCCACTGGAACGCTAGAATTCCTACCTTTGGAATCCATGCACATTCCAATGGTTTGTATTGGCTTTTTTGGACCACTGTCTGCATGCAGTCTCCCCCCCCATTAGATCTGCAGTCAGGGTGGGGCTAGACCCAATTCCCCACCTTCCTTCCCACTAGTGTATTTAAAAATTTATGTATCTGCAGTGCCTTGGGTGTGTTTGGCCAGCAAGTAGGAGAGCCTGGGAGCCAAGGTTTTTTTTCCCCCCCTTCAAATAGTGCCTGTAAAAACATCTGAAATTGAAGACAAAGTGATTTATATTGGGAAGAATATTGTGGGAAGAACAAGCCCATTGGAAGCAATCATCTCTTAGGCACAGATTACAACAATTTTGTTCTGTGCTTTGTCAGCAGTCTTTGCCCACAAACTACGAAGGAACTTTATCTGTGGGTTATGTCTCTTGCGTTTCTTATAAAAATGATACCATTATTATCTGTCGGGGGAGGGGGGAGAGAATATATCCCTATGAAGGCAAAATTGTGCTTCTAAAACTACAACACACAATTCTTCTTAATTGAAGCTCATATAACTGAATGAGGATTTTTAAAATCTGTATACAACCAATAGAAACTTTTTTAAAAAAATTATTAATTGAACACAAACAATCTTTATAAAAAGTTATATAGAAATTGGAGTGGGGGAACCTAACAGAAAACTACAAAAAGAAAGAAATGCCTACAGGGCATATATTCATACATAAATATACATGAACAAAATGTTATAAGCATTACAATGAATGAAAGCTATATTTCATTATAATCCTTATTATGTATATATATGTAAATGCAGCCAGTGGGCCACACCCCCTCATTCATTGCTCGTGCCAGTGACAAGCTTATGCTAGAAGCTGGATAACTATAAATGGGCTATTGATTCAGCTACCCACAAGGAAGACATTTGAAGCCAAGTCTGCTTCTTGGAAGTATCTACTCTGTTCTTC